GTTTATTTTACTTATTTATTTATTGACATGGACTCATGGATTATGAAGATTTTTTAAGCAAAGCATACTTGCTAATAAAATATAATTATTTTTCAAATACCTGCCTATCTATCTGCTATCTGAATTCTTTTGTCTATTTTAGTTAAGATAAAAAAAGGTGTAGAATACAGTATGGAAACTACTGAACATTCTATCCTTTTTAATCCTTTTTTCACATGAAGCATACTGAGATAGATCCTACAGCTGTAAATAGTTCTGAACCAATATCTGGTTAATTAAATAAACCTACTAAAAGCCAAAAACATTTCTGTCTAGAAAACCTCAACTCCAACATTGGTTTTTCTATATTTCAAAAAAATATTTATATTGCCAAAGAAAGTCATAACATTCCACTTTTGAGTCTTAAATTCTAATATTTGTGCATCCAGATTTATTTCTACATCACAGATTTTTTATTATTGGAGAGATAATCTTTATCCTAATTCACTGCCACATCACAATATAATCACAGAATCAAGGAGTTGGAAGAAGCCATTAAATCCAACTTCATGCTCAGTGTAGGAACCCAAATTAAATCAAATTTATACCTCCTTATTGCTTGCAGACACTAATCCTGCTACAATGTTTATATTTAAATAACTGCTGTCTCAGAAGTATCACAGAATGCATCTTTCTATTTTTTACTACATAGAAATCAAACATTGCATTTCTGATCAATATTATGATAGGATCAGGTAGGTATCTTCCTGTTTAAGGATAGTCCCAAAGTTCAGTGATGAGAGTTTGGATGATCACTTAAACATTAGTCAGCGATGTGTTGCAGCAGCCAAAAAAGCTAATAACAATCCTTGGTTGTTTAAACAGAAGCATAGACTCAAAATCACGTGATGTATTAGTACCGCTTTAGTAAGACCACACCTAGAATAGTGCATCCAGTTTTGGTCACCATATTGCAAAAAAGATATTGAGACTTTGGAAAAAGTGCAAAGAAGAGCAACTAAGTTAAAACATATGAAGAACGGTTAGAGGATTTGGGTGTGGTTAGTCTATTGAAAAGAAGTACTAGGGGGGACATGATAGCAGTATTCCAGTATTTGAGAGGTTGTCACAAAGAGGAGGGGGTCAATTTATTTTCCAAAGCACCAGAGGGCAGGACAAGAAACAGTGGTTGGAAACTAATCAAGGAGAGAAGCAACCTGAATTAAGGAGAAACTTCCTAATAGTGAGAACTATTAACCAGTGGAATAGCTTGCCTTCAAAAGTTGTAGGTGTTTCATCACTGGAGGTTTTTAAGAAGAGACTGGACAGTCACTTATCTGAAATGGTATAAGCAGCGGGCAGGACTAGAAAACCTCCAAAGTCCCTTCCAGCTCTATTCTGATTGAGTGCTATAGAAGGGGAAAACATTGGGACCTTGCCTGTATTATTTTCTCAAAAAAGCTTCTGTATTTTGGAGAATGAGGACGAGAATGAAGAAAGGAGAAAAGAAAGCTATAACAATACACAGCTTCTTTCAGGAGCAATCGACAAAAGCAGAAGCAATTATTTATTTTTGCCAGAGAACGTTTCATGACATATGGACTATAGAAACAAGTATTAAAACAACATACTATGGTTAGACTATGTAGTTTAATTTAAGATAAATCAACCATCTCTGCAACACAAATAAGTTCCTCAACAGTATACTAATGCATGAATAGGTTATTAAACAAATAGGATTTGTATAATGGGTGTTTTAAAACAGCATTTTTTTTAACTATTCAATTTTTCTTTCTCTTTGGATAATCAGGACAGTCACATAACACTTTACTAAGACAGAGAAGATCTCCCACAACTGTAGTTTCAGTATACTATTATTCAAACTATTCCAATTGCCTGTATTATCCTATTTTTATTTCACAAACTTTTTAGCTGTTTTCAGTTATACTTTTTATCTCTGATCTTTGACGGTAACAAATACCATATTTTCCGGTGTATAAGACGACTTTTTAACACATGAAAATCTTTTCAAAAGTCAGGGGTCGTCTTATACGCCGGGTGTCGTTCTCCTGTAACCAGGCAGACCAGCCCGAAAGGCTCTGACGAGCCTTAAATGGCTCTGGCGATCCAAGCTCTGACCATCCCAGCTTTGCCTGCTAATCAGGCAATGCATCTGGGATCGCCAGAGCCATGTAAAAGGAAAAAAGTTTTTCCCCTCCAGCTTGCTTACCTTAGCTGCTAGTCGCAACGCTTGCCTTGCTTTGCTTGCCTGCAATCCATTCCATCAGCAAGCCACTCCCTGCCTGCAATCAAGCAGGCAGAGAGTTGTGGACTTCAACTCCCAGAATTCCTCAGCTAGCAAAACAAAGCTGGCTGAGGAATTCTGGGAGTTGAAGTCTACAAGTCTTAAAGTTGCCAAGGTTGGAGACCCCTGTTCTATTGGGTAAGTTTTTTTCCCCTTTGGGAACTTTCAAAAAAATAGTTAATTGGGGTTTTTTTTAGTTGTTCTTTTTTAGACCTAGCCATTTAAAGTTTAGGAAGTTTTAAATTTAGTTTTCATATAAAAATAAAAATAAAATAAAATAAAATAATATTTGTGCAGCTTTCTGAGATTTAGTGTGTTTCTGTAGTGTTTCACTCTAACTACACAAACACACAAAATCTCACAAAGGTGTATGTGGAATTTTGTGTATGTAAAGTGTGAAAGTTGTTTTTTGGGGGCTTTTTGTGGCTGTGTGAGTTTCCTGCTTGTTGCAGGGGCCATTTTGGGTCTAGCACAGCTGCTTTTACATTGTGCGTGAGCCAGTTGATGTTTTTTAATTTTTATTTGGTGTGCGTTGGAAGAGGGGTAGTCTTATACGGCGAATATAGCCCAAACCCTATATTTTAACAGGAAAAGTCGGGGGTCGTCTTATACGCCCAGTCGTCTTATACACCGGAAAATACGGTATTTGTCTGTTCACATCAAATAGTCAAATAATGTATACTTTTAAATAGTTTTGAACTCAATGAAAGGTAAGTCCTCTTGAGCTAAAAAGTTTTCTTTAAAACAGATTTGTATCAGACTGCTATCCAGAGTTAAATCTGAAGAGCCCAGTGGCAACCCTTTTAGTAATCAAAATACTACATAATTACAATATTGTGCACCTTATATTTAATCTACTATGATAATTGTATTATGCTACTGTATTTAAATTAGAGATCAGGAGACTGTGAGTTCCAGTCCCACCTTAGGCATGAAAGCTGGCTAAGGGCTTTGGGCCAGTTACTCTCTCAGCCCAACTCACATCACAGGATTGCTGTTATGGATAAAATAGGAGGAGGAGAGAGGTCTTGAGTTATTTATAAAAATAATAAGAGTGGGATAAAAAAAATGCTTTAAAAATATTACTCTAAAATCTATAGTCCTACTATAAATTGCTGTACTATACTATACTCATACTATATATGAGTATATACTATACTCATTAATAAGTACTGATGATGAAAAAAAAATAAACCAAAAATAAGTTTTCAAGTAATTGTGTCTTCTAGGACAAATTAAATCTTTTAATTAATTGAGGTTTGCAACCAAAGTAACTGAAGTTTGTGAACTTAATTACTTTGAATTTACTGAAAAATAAAATGATGTATGACTGGGTTTCAATTTATCATTCAGCAGAGTTGTCCCAAATATGAGTCAACAAATGTTAAGGAGTGGCACTAGGTTATTGAAATTGTGGGAGCCAAACAACTTACCCATTTCTTCCAAACTAACCAACTGCCCCACCTCAAATCTTGTATGAATACTTAATCTTGCAAAATTCTGGCAGACTCACCCTGAGATTTTCTAAGAATGCTGACATGCTGGCATATTTATATAAAAGTTCTGGTTGTATCAAGAATCATTTAGAGGTATGATGGTAAACATGGCACTGTAAGAGCTACACTATTAATTGCTGATTTTGGACCACAAAATATTTATATAAACTTGGCCTCGGCAACCACCAATATAAAAACAAATGTATTTTCATTTTGCAGTCATGACTCTATTACCTTAAATAATTTATGTTTACAGTAAAATCAATTTATCCTGGACAAATATTCTATTTTTTTTAATAAAAGTGCTAGAACCTCTTACTATCGTGCCTTCTTCCTTTATTTGATATATCTCCCAGGTCCACAATGTTTGTCTGTGTGTAGTTTTTGTTTCTATCTATATTTGAGTAACAGTGTTTCATGTGCCTTTGGCGTTTAGTCATGCCAGCCACATGACCACGGAGATGTCTTCGGACAGCGCTGGCTCTTTGGCTTTGAAACAGAGATGAGCACCGCCCCCTAGATTCAGGAACGACTAGCGCATATGTGCGAGGGGAACCTTTACCTTTATATTTGAGAAAGTGTTGTGAAAGATCCCTAGTTTCCTTAATCCATTATCCTGCAATAATATGTTACAGTAGAGAAACAAATAAATAGTTAAGCATTTGGCATGAGACTCAGGTACAATCTTATATGTATCTTGTGACTGGATGATCCAATGTAACATTTTATGATTTATCTGAGGTGTCTTGCTGCAGTCAATTTGCCATTATCGTGCACTTTTTCAAGAAAACTTCACCAAGAGGCAATGTCCTTCAAGGTAGAAGTTTAGGACTTGTGTAACCATTTTGTTACTTCCTGTAGATCCTTATACTAGTTATTTGTGGAAATGCCTATGGTAATTTTCTTCCCTTTCCAGAGATGTCTAGATGCTGAAATTCATTGGAGTTATGTACTGAAATGCCTATCTGATGACAACGTAGTTCACAGAGACAGATTTCTTAGTTATATATTTTTAGAGAAGAATGCTTCTTCTCTCAATATGAAAATTATTTATGATACTGAGAAGCCTAGGCAACATTTTGTATATTCACAGTATAAACAAATGAACAAATAATTTACATAGAGATGCTATTTTCAGTCTTCTTATTCCACACAGTATCCAGTCCTTCAAAGATAGTTATGCAATAATTCAATATTTGAGAATAAATTTTATGACTGACCTCGGCTTTTTGAGTGAGAATTAGATTCTGTTTCCAAACTGACAGGCAACATCTGCTCAGTCTCCATGTTTTTCAAATCAAAGGAACTTTCTGTAGCTGAAATTTCCTTGGATGAAGCACTGAGATGAAGGGCATCTTGTGTTTTCCTTTTTTCTTTCTTTAACATATTTACTAAAATAGCTAATATTTATATTAAGGAAAGCTTTAAAATACTTTGTAATGATAATTAGCACAAGTATGTTTATGTAAAAAGACTGCTAATTACACAGAACAGGAATAATTATTTTGTATGTTTTATTATATTGATTGATTGATTCCCCATTCTTCTGTCCTCATAACATTAGCTTACATTATCATACTGGATTTATTCTTAAAGCTGGTTTGGGCAAAAAAAAACAAAACAAAACCCAGTGTATCTGCTCTAACCACACTCCAAACATAAAGAGTACAGTATGTGGAACATAAGATATGTGAAGCTTTGGGTTCCTTTTGTATGGAGGTAATACAAAAATCTCTACAATTATAATAAAATACTATCTAATATTTGAAAAGTGTCAAACCATACATTTGCTTCTATTATTAACTCATTGTAAATGGAACAAGGAAAACAAATAAAAATATGAAATTTTAAAATATTTGATTCTCAACCAATCTTTTATGGATAAATATGGAATTGGATATTTGGTTTGGGATTTTTTCCCACACTTTTCCTTGTGAATTCTTCTGGGTATCTTTGCACCCAGTCCATGTTTAACATCTCTCCAACATTTTCAATAATATTCAACTGTTGGGGCTATTATGGCCATTCCAAAACTTTTTAGTCTTTCTGTCCTTTAACTATTTCACAGTTGATTTGGAGATAGGTTTAAGATCCTTGACTTGATGAACTATCCAGTCATTTTCAGCTTCAATATCCTTATTGATTCTGGGATACTATCTTCTAGTATATACTGATATTTAGTTAACATTGATGATATTCTTCCTCATACTTGCACAGTATATTTTGTGCCACTCACTGTCACACAATACTAAAGCATACTGAGCCAATAGAGTGATCTCTATGTTTAATACTTTGCCATATTGCTCTTTTCTTCAAATGTTTCATATTATTTTTCTTGAAATGTATATTTTGTGGCTGTGGCTGAGCTATTCAGTTTTCATTTCATCAGTCTAAAGCACTTTGTTCCAAATACTTCAAGCTTATCAAACGTTTTGGATAATTACTTTTTGTGGTTAAGTTTTATGAAAAGGTTTTCTGATACTTCTCCCATGCAAATTTATTGTTGTATCAGAAATATTGTACTGTGGATATTGTTTTGTGAATATGACCAATTTTCAGCAGTTCCAGCTGATATATTTGTCTTCCAGATCTTGCCTTGACTTCAAGAGTTCCATGCAACTTCCATTTCTTAATAATATTTCTCACTACTGAAATTTCTAGTTGGGAGTGTTTAGAAGCATTTTTTTTCAACTTTCACCTGCTTGTATGAGTAAAGTATCTTTATTTTCAAATGGACAGGGAGGTGAGTTCAAAAGGAACCTACAGTTGTTGAAAGCACTCAGAACAAATTACAAAGTAAGAGGTTAGCTCAGAGCATTTGCCATGCTAATTGTCTTCACCGAATTGTAATCTTAATGAGTGAATTACTCTTTTCAGTCTTATTAACAGCTTTAATAATAACAAGTTTCTGTTAACAAAAATTTATAAGCTAATTCTACTTATTGTAATGCTATATGCTTGTTGATGGCTGATTTGTCTAAATGCCAGGTTTCTAGAAATTCTCTAGTATTTTTAGACTTAGCTTGCTCTAGGATGCCTAGTTTCTATATTGAAACTATGGTGAAGTTTGTCCATGTGTGGGACAATTAAGGAATCATCGTCATATCTTCTGTCTGCTAGTTGGTATACAAATAAGTAAATAAAACAAGTAAAAATCTTCCAATGTCTCTTTTTTTACTTCCTGATAAGTTAAGACTGATCCATTCTATAATTCTTTTTCTGCCCATTCTTTTACTCCATCTTTGAAGGTCATCCCCACATTCCTTTACACAACTGAAAAAGTGTCAATTCTGTACACTATTGTCTTATGTATTGGGTATCAGTAAACAGCACACGAATAATAAATAAATACTCAAATTGTTCAGAAACTCAAAATACTCACATGTTCAGAAACATGTGATATTTAGCAATAGCACTTAGACTTATATACCACTTTACAGTGCTTTACAGCCCTCTCAAAGCAGGTTACAGAGTCAGCATATTGCCCCTAACAATCTGGGTCCTCTTTTTACTGACCTCGGAAGGATGGAAGGCTGAGTCAACCTTGAGTCTGGTGAGGTTTAATCTGCCGAACTGCTGCAGTACTGCATTCTAACCACTGAGCCACCACGGCTCTTTAATACATTAATGTGGAGTTTTGTCAAGATAAAAAATAATTAGGCCTGGAAGCTCACCAATATTTGAATGTCATGTTTAACTTGGTACTATGTTGAGATTATGTCAACTAAAACATATAGTTTGATCAGAAATACAAATTACAGTGGTTATACCCAAACTTTAACTAGAATATTAAGAATGTATTTATGTAGCTTCCTTGACTGATTCTGATGAGTTTAAATTCAAAATAGTGAAAACATCAATAAAAGCAATTCATCATCATAGTACCCTATGCTGGCTAAACCAACACAACCCAGCCCTCTCCCCATAAGATGTCGGCTGCTTTTCTCTCCAAAATGATTCTAACTGCATTCCTGAGTTTTAACAGGGCATGGGTCATCCTGACCTCAGAGGGCAAGCTGTTCCAGACTGAGCAAATGGTAACTGAAAATAGATGTATTCAGCTTGATTATATTCACTTTACAATATTGAAACCTTTCCATGTTATTATTAAATCAAAAGTATTATACATTGAGTTTTAAAGTATTTTGCAATAAAGTATACTCCTCCTGTAGCTCCCGCCCCCCCAAATCTGCTTTTGAGGATTGTTGAACATTTTGGAAGAGACCTGAAGTCATGAGGCAAAGAACAGAATGAAATCTTGCCATATTCCTTACAGAAACAGATATGTCACAGGAATAGGAACTAGATTTTTATCCAATAAAGATTTCAGAAAGGATACTAATTTCATTATCTCGTTGCTGCAATAGATCCTTCAGTTTCTTTAACTCTTCATTGCCAATTACAGTATTAGCACTTTTATCTTCCTGAACATCTGGTCCAAGTAATTGATTGCCAGGACGTTTTGCATCATTTACCAGTCTCTGTTGAATCAAAAACAATACGGTTATTTTAATTAGTAATTCATTTCTTCATTTTCTGTAAGGAGGAAATTTGACAAACTTGTAGTGCTGGGATGCCAAGCTACTGTAAAGTTTTCCCTTATGGATCATCTAGTTTTAATAGCTTCCTCTCTTTTAAACAAATCAGAATAATTTTCATGTACCCTCTCTCCTTTGAACAACTATGCAGTCATCCTTCCTAAGACTGATTCTCTTTCCTTTCAAAGATTTAATTCCTTTTTCTTAAACTTAAAATTGTTTCTCTATTTGTTTTCCTGTAAGATATATAAGATCTTTTTTTTAAAGAACAACTATGTCATTTGGCCTCAACAGTACCTTTAACATTTGCAAATATGCAAATTAACTTTCAGTTAATTACTTAATTTTTAAAACATATATCTGTATTAAAAAGTTTATTGAAAAACATACTGTATGCTTGTAGATGCTAAGAGGCAATACTGATTTGATGGCTCATAATCAAATAACAGCACACAAAAACCCTAAAGCGCAACCAGAAGTTGTAGAATAGTTATAAATTACTGTTTTTGTTAATATATTCTTTAAATTCTGTTTAGTATAGCATAAAAGTTCGAACAAATTAATTAACCTCCCTATGAAATTTACCCACCCAACTGTCTTTTTCTAGTTGGTCCTGGGGGGGGGGGAGGGAGGAGGGAACGACTTCTATACAAATAATTGAATAGTTATAAAATAATATCCAAGAATATAAAATATGACATAAGTTAACTATGGAGTTGCTTTAGATAAAAAGTTCCTGTCTAAATAAATAATGGTTTATTTAAGAAGGAATACCCAGAAATTTAGGTTTGCACTTTCTTTAAATTAAATTTTCCAGCTTTTTTCAGCTACTGGTTATTAAATAAGCAGCATTTCACTGTTTTACATGTAACAGGAAACCTTTTAAAATATTAAGAACAAAGTTAATACAAAAGGGAAGAGCATATGAGCAAAAAACCCTAACTTATCCTTAGATTAATAGCTCTAGTTTCCTATATCAAATATCACATGGAAAATTGTGATTTTCCCATTTACAAAATGTAAATTTCATTACTGCTACAAGAAAAACATAATTTATTTAATATATATACTAATTAGGCTCTAATTAGAAACACATACTTCCTCTTCTCTTTTAAAATTGCCTAATAAATCAAAATACAGTACATTGGTTAATGTGTTAAAAACGCAATGCAATATACCTTTAAATGGCTGAAACAGTATTTGATCTTCCGCATATCAGCCCCAATTTCCAAAATGCTTTCAGGATCAATATCTTCCAGAAATTCTTTAACTTGCTCATCTAATCTAAATATACATGATAAAACAAACAAAATAAAAAGCTACCTTGAAGAAAATATATAACTCTTCAGAAGAACAAATCAAATATAAATATTAAACTCCAAATTCCTGCTAGTTTATCACAACTATGAACTTTCTACAAATGGAATTTCAGCAAAATGGGAAGCAGGAAAAACAGTATTTTAAAATTTATACCTGATGTTTCAGTTCTTAGGGATTCTAGATCTTTGGAACAAACTTTGAGGATGACAGTGGAAAACAGAGTGGGGAGAAGTCAGTTAAAAAAAATAGCTGCATTTTTCTTTGTATCACTGGGATTTTTTTCTTTGGATCAAAAGTCACCTATGGCTGGAAAGAACCTTTTTATCTGCAGGAAACAAACTCTGGTTCCAACACATAGAAAGCAAATTTACTGCTTATGTCTAAACAACACATTAAGGAGGTGTTGTTTTTTAAAATAAAATTGAATATTTTTAAAATAGTAATGTTCCGTCCAATAAATTCTAACTCCTCAGAAACACATGATATATAAGTATATTTTTAACCAAAGTAAAGTTATATTTTGTTCAATTAGACTTATTTATAATTAATGGTCCACAGAATTGAATCTTTAAGCACTTGACAGCAATCCTGTTTAATAGTCTTGCATATATTGATGATTTCTAAAATCAATGTAGGGCCAAGTGAGGAACATGTGCACTGTAGATAGCTGTCAGACAGTCAAGTAGGCCTTCCTGGAAGAGATGGCCTCCTCAGGAGGCAGTTAAGATAATGAGCATAATTGATCTGGAAATAGGTCTTTTTCTGAAATTTTTATAAAGTATCAGTATCAGAAACTAAGATATTTGATGGAAATAATGTTCACCTCAGCCCATTTTGCAGAACCTGTGACTGAACTATTTTGTTGGATATAGTGACCTTTATCTACATTAAGACCACTCTTCTAGTCTGTCTCTTTCTGTAATTAGCATAGTAGATTTTAGATTTGTACCTAAACTTAGGTTTGTACCCCCATGGGTGTTGCCTTGAATAACTGTTTGCTGTAGTGTTTGTACATGGCTAATGTGATGGATTTTGGCCTTCAATAACTTCTCTCCTACAAGCCCTTGCTGTACAGAGTATATGGATACTACTCCTCATTTATATCGTGTTTCCCCGAAAATAAGACCCTGTCTTATATTTTTTTCAACCCCGAAATAAGCGCTTGGCCTTATTTTTGGGGAGGTCTTATTATTTTTGGGCGCGTGAAACAAGACGGGGCTCTTCTTGCTGTCTTACCTGATTTCCAGCTCTGCATTTAAATATTTTCAAAGAGGGCTTATTTTCGGGGAAGGGGGGCTTATTTTAGCGCATGCGCTCAAAAGCCCTATTGGGCTTATTATCAGGGGATGTCTTATTTTTGGGGAAACAGGGTAGATATTTGTAATGTTGTCCAAGCAACTTTAATAAAAACTTTAATAAAATATTTTAGTGAAATATTTTAAAGTAACTTAAAATAGTAAATTGCTTTTTCCATATGTAGGAAGATTATATTTAAAATATATCATATATGATGGAAGCAAAGAGACTTAACTAACTCACGAAGGAATTTTGGAAGCCCTCACTTTGACCTTATGTATAAACTATGTACAAATTCATTTATGGCTGTTTCTCCTTTTTTATTACAGAACCTTGATACTTTGTGTCATATACAGTACAAGGTTCACTATATGTGCTGCATGTTCACTACCATTGGCTATAGCCTTCAAACGTCAAAGAGAGAAAAATAATGGCTTGCAAAAAAGCCATTTTGTAATATTGTTTTTCAGTATCTGATGAATGGATAGGAAATATTTCAGGTTGCTTGGTAAAAAAAAAACTTTTTTTACAATGTAACAAGAAAAGAAAGATATTCCATTCAAAATGTTTTCTTTTGGAATCCTTGAACTCAAAAATAAATGTCTTTCTGAATAAGCCCTATCACTTCTGATCTAACTGAATTAGTGATAAATGAAGAACTAAAATCTAACTGACATGATAAAGAAAACAAGTTGTGTATATTAATAAGCAATAAACATCTGTAAGAAAATATGCTCTTTTTCTTGCTTATTAAAATATTTCTAGATAATGTTGCTAAAGCTACTTTTTTTTCCAATTTGCTGGTAGTTCTTGACTTACGACCATAATTGGGAATGGAATGGTCATAGACAATGCCAGAACTTACAAAAGAAATTCTCTTGTGATTGTTAACTGAGATTGTTGAATACAGGTAGTCCTCGCTTTACAATCACAACTGAGCCCAAAATTTCGATTGCCAAGTGGGACAGTTGTTAAGTGAGTTTCACCCCACTTTACAACTTTCTTGCCACAGTTGCTAAGTGAATCACTACAGATGTTAAGTTAGGAACATGGTTGTTAAGTGAATCTGGGTCCCCATTCATTTTGCTCGTCAAAAGTTCATAAAAAGTGATCATATGACACTGCAACCATCATAAATATGAACCAGTGGCCAACCATCCAAATTTTGATCCCGTGACTATGAAAATGCTGCATCGGTCATAAGTGTGAAAAATGGTCATAAATCACTTTTTCAGTGCTGTTATAAGTTTGAACGGTCACTAAACGAACGGCTGTAAGTCGAGGACTAGCTGTACTCAAGCCAATAGAAACCACTCTGGGATTGGTCCCTCCCAGCCCTGAGCCTCAGTAAGGTAAAGCACTGCCTCCAATTCCCGCCCCCCGCGCCCCCCCCCCTAAATATCTCTTTCATCTCTGTTTGCAAGCATCAGCAAACATTAGTTTACCTAGCTCTTTTCTCTCCCCAGTCCCATGTGGCTCTCCAGCCTGCCTCAGTAAGCAAGTAAACAACTTGCTAGCTGCCCAGCAAGGGCAAACATTCATTTATCCAACTGCTTTATACACATCAGTTTCTAAGAAATTCTTGATGCCGTGAATCATGCTGAGAGTATATTCAGATCTAAATTAAATTTAGCTTCTCAAACTATACGGGACAAAAATGTGATGCAGTTACAATTTGCATAAATGGTAGTTATATTTCCCTGAATAACACCACTGTACGCAACATCCTGGAAATAACTCTGTAACTCTAATTTCTACAGGTTTCCATTACCGAGCCTGAAATGTTCCATACTCAACAAAAGTCTTCTGTCAGGAAAAAAAAAAAATTTATACCAAAAATTGATATAGCAAATCAGTATTTAGGTCATGACTGAAATCATTCCTATTTCAAAACAGAGCACTACGTTTGATATGCAACAAGGCATAGAAACCACGCCTAGTCAAATTTTAGTTTATAGTCTCCAGAGGATCTTTATATGAACAGATTTGTGAGCTGCATATTGACTATATTATAACTTTGCCATTAAAAATTTTTCAGGCTGATGAAATATACTCTAATTTCCCCCCTCCTTTTGAAAAATTGCTTAAAATTGTAAAATTGCTATCTTTAGGTATTTATGAATTAATTTGTACATTCCAAGAACCTCCTACTTTCAGAAAGCTATGCTGAGGAATTTATAATAATTTGTTCAGTTTTATTTCAACAGAGTTATATGTACTAAAACTTCAATAGCTTCTTTTGGAATATAATAATCGTAGGCTTCAAGTAACTGGTATGGAGACTTTCTTTCTCTGACAGATTGGTGTCTTCAATTTTGCAAGATAGGCTTCATTGTCTATAGTAAAAATCTTTGCAGCAGAATTTTAAATGCTGTTGCTCGTTGGCCCAATTTTGAATTTCTTTAGAGATAGATACGCAAAATAATAATAAAATCTACATGCTTTTACCTAGATAATCCAAGTGAAGATAATGTTGATGAACTCTGTTCTCCAATGCAATGGATAAATTTACAGAGAGAAGTGACTTAAGTACAATTATCAAATTATGCATTTATAGATTTATTAGATTATGGGATTCAGAAAGTTTGGGATTATTTTTTATCATGCTCTCTACAGTCTTATATTGCAAAAAAATATTTACAAACAGGGATTTAGCATGTAAGAAATTTGTTGATAACAATTAGCAACACCGCTAATTGCTACAAATATTCCCTAAATACTTTTTTGGATTATGCATGCTCTGAACCTTCTCCTCAACTAGTATGTATTAATGTCTCAAAAGAAATATCTGGGGTGGGGGGGGAAGCCTGATTCACTTCATTTATTTCAATACTCAATACTAAACAGCATTCAATACTAAACAAAATAATCCTTAAAGGTTATTCACATCACCCTAGGTAATTTAATCATTGATAGTTCAGCCCCATTCTTGTTCCTCATCAATTTATTATTCTCATATACCTCAATACAGCAGCTAGATCATTAGTATTATTCTTGCACTTCACTTACTTTACCCAATTACTTCTCAGTAAATTGTCTATGTGGAAATTCACATCTACTGCCAAAATCTGTGTCTGATCATAGTAAAATAGCAACTAGATCTTACAACTTTCACTTTTTCTTATTCCCTTATTATTAATAAGGCAGGGTGAAAATACTACAGCTGCTGTAAATTCACTATTCATTCTGATAAGTTTAAAATATCTCTTAATTTGAAGTATTATTTGAAACTAAATTCTACTAGGACGTCCATGCTTATTATGCCAATGAAAAAAAAAATTCAGAATAAGATGACATAAAGAAAACCAAACAATACTCTAGCAGCTCTTCTTTTGAGAGTTCTTCGAGTCTTTGTTCACCAGTCACCATGGCCAATTCATTTTTTAATTCCTGGATTTCCTTCTTCAGACGCATAATCATCTGGAAATATAAAATGGATCACACTGAATAACAAAGAATGTCTGATTTAGAAGTTACTGTATGTGATGCTCTTTTCTATATAAACCAAATTGCTAATCTTTCTATTCCCTCCCCCCCCCAATTAAAACTTTTTTCATTTTTTTTTTAATAGAAATGAAATAATACTGTGAACTTAAATAACAGCATGCTTTGGAAAAATGAAGGACTGTGATTTGAGGGAAGAGAAACTTCTTTCAAAGATGGTAAACACTAGATAACTGAGATTCAATTCTTTACTGATTTAGCACTTTGAATTTGTATTCATAGCATATCTACATTGTTCTGGATTAGTTATGGGCAATATGTTTTCACCATCTTTATTCTCTAAGGAGGCAATATTCTGAATACGTATCTGGGAAAAAAGTTCTACTGAATATACAAGAGCTTACTTTCAAGCTAAATACAGCTATACTACATATACCACTACATACAACTACACCACAAAACTTCAAAAGCTGAAAACAAATTGTTTGCTTATTATAAAGTGATTGAAAATATTATGCATTACATCACTTTGTATATTAAAGAAAATATTTAGTTATTGTTAATAACAATAATACTACACTATGTTAGTTGCATTGAGTACGCAACACTGTTAAACACTTGTGACAAACAGGCCTCTACTACCATATTCAGGAGACAAAATGAATAACATTATTAGGAATAATTTATTTTATTTATTTGTTCTGTCAAGCATGTATTAGATAACAGATATAAGCATAAACATGATTATTAATACATGAAATGGATACGAATAAAAGGGGACATGAGGACAGGGACAGTAGGCACGTTGGTGCGCTTATGCACACCCCTTACAGACCTCTTAGGAATGGGGTGAGGTCAACAGTAGACAGTCTAAGGTTAAAGTTTGGGGGGTTTGGAGAAGAAACCACAGAGTCAGGTAGTGTATTCCAGGCATTGACCACTCTGTTGTTGAAGTTGTATTTCCTGCAATCGAGTTTGGTGCGGTTTACCTTAAGTTTGTAACTATTGTATGCTTATGTATTGTTGTGGTTGAAGCTGAAGTAGTCATTGACAGGTAGGACATTGCAATAGATAATTTTATGTACTATGCTTAGGTCAGACCGAAGGCGGCGCAGTTCTAAGTTATCTAAGCCTAAAATTTCCAGTCTGGTGGCATAAGTTATTCTGTTGCGAGTAGATGAGTGGAGGACTCTTTTCGTGAAATATCTTTGTACTCTCTCAATTGTATTAATGTCCGATATGCAGTGTGGTTTCTAGACGGATGAGCTGTATTCAAGAATTGGTCTAGCAAATGTTTTGTATGCTAGCAGTACAATATTACCAGAGAAAAAGCTATGCAGGATTCTTAATGCCTTTTTGGCAATGTTGTTACAGTGGGCTCTGGCACTTAGGTTTGTCTACAAGGTCATGTCCATCCAGCTTGTATTTTATATTCTGATTTTTTTTGCCAATATGTAAAACAGAGCATTTGTTGGTTGAGATTTGAAGTTGCCACTTGTTTGACCATTCTGACACATAGTCAAGGTCTCTTTGAAGGGTAGCAGCATTGTCAGTGGTGTTGAATAGTTTTACATCATCAGCGAATAATATGATCACAAAGGTCATTTATGTAAAGTATAGAGAGCTGGTCCTAGAACACTGCCTTGGGGGACACCACTGTTAACAGGTACAGGATTTGATAGGGTGCTCCCTATTTTGACCACTTGTTGCCTGTTTGACAGGAATGCAGCTATCCAATTATGCAGTGGTCCAGAGATGCCATAAGATTTTAGTTTTAGAAGTAGTTTGTCATGCACCACTGAATCAAAGGCTTTAGAGAAGTCCATGTAAATTATTACATGAAAATCATTGTCATGTATATTTTATACAGTACTGTTATCATAAAGAGTCACTGAGTCACCTTACCAATCCAGGATCAATTTCTTCATTTAGAATAGCTTCATTCTTAATAACAGCAACTCGCTGAGCAAATCTACAAGTTGATATAGATTCCTAAAAGGAAAAAAAATATATCTCAACCTATCACTATGTAAACAGATACGTTTTCTACAATGTAAGAATCAAAGTAACAATCTTTAAAATTGTCTTAATATGCTTTAACAAAAATGAATACCAAACAAATTGTATATTGATAAAAATAGTCTGTCTATTACATCTCAGGACTGAATTAGATAACATGTCATGTATCATTTACAAGCAAAAACAGCCCCATATCCATTCCCATATTTCTCCATAAAATTAAATTAAGATTTTTTTTTGCACTCACTAATAAATAGGTTGATGCTAATGAAGAACACAAAATTGATCAAATGGTAGATTTCAATGATTAAAGAGTAAAGGCAAAAAAGCAAAGGACCTGTGGGTGAGTTTTCAATTTTCAGCAATAAATCAATTTTTGGTATTACATCCTTTTAATTTCTATAAAGATTATTTCAAAATTATAATTATGTACATGATTGATGCTAAATTATTTTATAAATAATAAATCAACAGTGATGTAAAGTGGAATATAAGACATTGGCTCTTAATGATGCTTTTCTATTTTTTTAAAAAATCTAATAAAGTCTTAAATTCCATTAATTTTAACTATCTATCTCTAGTTTCAAAACTAATTAACTAATTAATTTTTAATTTCAGTCATATTTTCTTTTTAAATCGATGATGATCCACTATCATATGGTTTATACCACCATTACCTACTATTTGTATAAAAAGTTATTAACCAGCTCTAGAATATCTTGTATTCCGCTTCAATGTTGCTAAGGAATTTAGTTATATTTCTATCAGGATTAATGTTTTAAAAACAATGCCATAAAACTATTATTTATTATTATGTGAATTAAGATACATTCAGACTGACTGTTACTATGTATTGAATATAATTAACTTTATAAAATGAATTGTATTGTAAACATCCACACAATGATTTTTTGCTACTTGTTATCACCTGATCTGATTAAATATAACAAAAAAGAGATTTTTTTAATCCAAATCTCATCCTAGAATCTGAAGGAATCTTCAAAAAAAAAAAAAAGATAAACTTTTCCTCCATTTAAATTTTTTCTTCATCTGCAACCCTCTAGTGAAGAATGCTTTGAATGTTCAGTACAATCATACAGCAAAATATTGCATTATTCAGAGCCCCCTATCTTCCTTCAGGTACTTCAGGTAACAACAAAGGTGGTATCAACAAAAACAGAAAGATTATGTGAGTATATATGGAGGGGGGTAGAGGGGAGAGAATTGAGAGAGAGTGGATAAATTCAAGATGTACTTATAATTTATTTTATTAGAGAGCTTTTGGTTTTTTCTTTTCTACTGTTTTTTTATTTTATGTCTAGTTCTGCACTCCAGTAGTTAATAAATAGCCAAGTCCTTAAAAATGGAGAGAAAAAATTCTATTCTAAGAATGCTATGTCACTGTCAGTTTAATCATACTACATCAGTTATGCAAAGAAATTTGAGCATAAAAATTGTTACATTAATATCAAAACAATTAAAATGAGAAATGGGAAATGGGAAAACATACATCTATGTTTCTTTTTTCTACAGAGAGTGTTGCAATCATTGTTGTCATGCAGTTCCCTCCCAGGCTGTCTCTTAGTACTGAAGTCATCATGGAGTTTCTGTAAGGGATGTGAGATCTGTTTTTTTCTGACAGAGCAATGATTACCTGCAATATTAGAAGGTAATATTAGAAAAGCTTAGTAAGCTCTGATATCTTGCTTTTGATTACTTAAGACAAGGCTTCCTATTATAAAAAAAAATACATTAAAATTTAGCGTTTTTCATGATAATTATATTTAGGCACAATCACTTCATTGTTTTATAACAAAAGTAGACCAACAAAATTAACTTATTCATGTAAGGAAAGTTTTCAATTATTTGAACTATTCAATCTTGCTGAATGTTTTGAGGGAGCATCAAACCCTGTTTGACAATGGATTTGAAAAGACTGGCAAGAGCACAATAGTGAAGAAAGTACTGCAGCACATCTACTTCCACAATTATGCATCTTCTAGACTTCATCAATCTTGACACCATATTTAAATGATGAGAATTTAAATGATGAGTTTTAATGAGAAACTATAATTTCGTTATATTTTTTTAGCCTCTGAAGACCACAGGCGGCATGATTAGTCATGCAATTATCTTGCTAGATTGATGAAACTCAATTTTTTTTGTGCTTGGGGCATTTGGAATCGTCCCTTTCCCTCCCAGAGCCAGCACCTTGGAAGTTATGAGCATTTGATTTGGAAAACATCTTCACTGAAGATGGATTATCATTTACAGTACTTCGCCACAAAGCATACAGGTCTCATGCTGCATTCCCCCTTCCTGTATATTTCCCTCCCATCTCTGCCCTTTTGGCTGCCCAGTACTTTGCTGTCTCTGCCAGTTGCATTTGGCCCAAATCACATGCATAACTTTGAAGGGTCACTGAACAAGGGTAGTTAAGCAAGAACTATCTATATATAAAATTACTATTATTAAATTTCATTATGTGCTATAAAACTGATCTCTAAATAAGAAGGGCTATCAAATGGTACAATACAGACATTTTGCCAGACAGTAGCTACCTGAGACCCATCATGTTCCATGTCTAAATCAAAATTCAGTGGTTCAAATGCCAAGTGCACGAGAACATGATTATTATAAAACAATACAAAAACTGGAAACTGGATCAACTGGACCACCCCAACGATGCCCTTGAAGTGATGTCCCGGTGCCTGGAGGCCATACGGATCTGGATGGGGAGAAACAGACTCAGGCTCAACCCATCCAAGACCGAATGGCTGTGGTTTCCGACATCCCGATATAGTCAGCTGGTGCCATCGCTGACTATTTGGGGCGAATCATTGGCCCCCACGGAAAGGGCTCGCAACTTGGGCGTCCTCCTGGATTCACAGCTGTCCTTAGAAGAGCACTTGACAGCGTGACCGGGAGGATTTTTCATCAGGTTGGCCTGATCCGCCAGTTGCGTCCCTTTCTAGATCGGGACTCTCTACACATAGTCACTCACACCCTTGTCACCTCTCGTCTGGACTATTGTAATGCTCTCTACATGGGGCTCCCCTTGAGGTGCACTCAGAGGCTCCAACTGGCGCAAAGTGCGGCCGCGCGGGTGGTTATGGGAGCAATGTGGAGTTCCCATGTAACACCTCTCCTGCGCGAGCTGCACTGGCTCCCGGTGGTCTTCTGAGTGCTCTTCAAGGTTCTGGTTATCACCTTTAAAGCGCTCCATGGCTTAGGACCTGATTATCTACGGGACAGCCTGCTACCACCAATAGCCTCCCACCGGCCAGTACGCTCTCATAGAGAGGGGCTCCTCCGGGTGCCGTCGGCCAAACAATGTCGACTGGCGGCCCCTAGGGGGAGAGCCTTCTCTGTGGGGGCACCTACGATCTGGAACAAGCTCCCCCCGGAGATACAGAGGATTCCGGATCTGCGCACCTTCCGTCACGCGCTTAAGACTTTCCTATTCCATCAAACTGGCCTGGCCTAAATCTTCTCCCCTTTTTAAATGTAAATTTTTTAAATTTTTTAAATGTAGATTTTAATTTGTTTTAAATTATGGGGTATTTTAAATTCAGCCAAATTATTTAATTCATTTTTAATTCATTTTAATTTTTTTGTATTTATGTGTTTTATCTCGTGGCTGTTCACCACCCTGAGTCCTTCGGGAGAAGGGCGGTATAGAAATTTAATAAAATAAATAAATAAATAAATAAATAAATAAATAAATAAATAAATAAATAAACTTTACCTGTTCCAAATAATGTAGAGACAGATTGATGTATTTGGCCTCTGTCAGTTGCTGGCCTCCAACTCCAGTCTTCCCAACACGCTCTGAACCAGCCAGGTCCACTAAGTGTAGTTTGGAACGCCGCATGGTTGCTGATCCTGGTTCTTTGCTTGAGATATGAATGGTGAAAATGCAATGTGAACGTGTGGAGGCTTGATTCATTGGAGTCTGTGAGAGAAAGGATTTCCTAAGCCTTACTTTTTAATTCTCAGTCTAAATGCTACTGATCATTTAGAAATAAAAAGTGGTTCAAGTTAAAACAGATCACAGCAATACTTTGAAACTTGTCTAGTCTAACACAAACATTGCATAATAATTCCATTTACAATGGGCTGTAATGGAGGAAAGAAAAAAACATGGTCGATTCAACCTACGTATCACATGCTCATAACTTCCGAGATGCTATAAAAGTACAAGGGAGTTCCTTAATCAAAACCAGGGGTGAAATCCAACAGGTTCTGACAGGTTCTGAAGAACCGGTAGCGGAAATTTTGAGTAGTTTGGAGAACCAGAAAATACCACCTCTGGCTGGCCCCAGAGTGGGATGGAAATGCAGATTTTGCAATATCCTTCCCCCAAGAATGGAGTGGGAATGGAGATTTTGCAGTATCCTTCCCCTGGAGTGGGGTGGGAATGGAGATTTTGCAAAATCCTTCCCCTGCCACGCCCACCAAGCCCCATCCACAGAACCGGTAGTAAAAAAATTTGGATTTCACCTCTGAATCAAAACAAAAACATTGTAAATTGTGCATCATGACTGCAAATAGTGCGCAAATGGCTATAAAGGAAGTCTGAGTGCTCAAAATCCAATCACATGACCATGAAGTGAAGTTAAAAACCATGTTGGAAGTTAAAAACCAGGTCATAAGTAGCTTTGGGGATGATTACAACTTTGAATAGTCACTTAGTGACCAGTTGTAAGTTAAGGGCTACCTAAGTAGGAGCAGAACCATGTAGTTATGCCAATTATATATCACAGATTTGTGTAATATTATGGCACCAAGAGATTCATCTTCAATTCCTTTTCACTGAGCCCTTATACAAAATTTATCTTCTCAATAGTTACATACAAACACAATATTTTAACTGAGTTTTACTGTCATTTCGTAGTTTTTTCTTTTATCCTTCTATGTTCCTTAACATTTGATTATGGCGATATGCATTCACTCTTTCAATTTAAGCCCTCCAATTGGGAGAAATTTTTGCTTGAAATAATACGGTATCATCAACAAGCCTGATGACCTACACATCATCTCTAAAACCAGTATATTTGTGAAAAAATTGTAGGTTTCGGTGGTAAAATACCTTATATAAATAAAAATAATAAATAAAAATATGCTAAAATGTGCAGAATACATAGATAATATACTCACAGATGAAAAAGTAGATAAAAGAGAAGTATTGCTTTCATCTTTAAATATTTAAAATGTTTACATTCATTAAATATATGTGAAAGCTGCCAAGAATATTAGCTCTAGGCACTTTCCAAACAGAAGTAGCTAAACAAATACAACACAGATATGTCTTCCCAAACTGAACAAACAGAGAACACTGTAATAAAGCCTTTTACTGAAGTTTCTTCTCATTAAAACAGACAAAATTTGCATTAAAAGGAAAAAAAATAACTGCAACGTGGCTTTGATTTAATTTCCTAAAAATAAAGTGAGTTATTTGTCTCTGTATTTTGAATCAATATTTTATTTTGTTATTAGTTTTATTATTGTTGTGGCCCACCAGCGGCCAGCAGAGCTGGCAGCAGAGTCAGACAGTGAGGAGGTTGGGGAGGAACATGGGCCAGTCCTGGGGGCTGGGGCAAGCTTGGACAAGGGCTCTGCGTCGGAGGCAGAGAGGGAGATAAATAGCAGTGAAGCAGAGGAAAAACTGGAGCCCGTTTCCAGTGTGCACGTGCGCAGAGCTCCAGAAGACAAGAATAACTCAGAAAGCAGGGTTGACTTGGGAGTAAAGCCACACCTTGGAGGTGATTGACCCCTCCCATAGGAAACACAAGAGGAGCAAACAGGGAGGGTTTTTTGCAGGAAACAATTCGTTCGGTCAGTAGTTTCAGGAGTGAAAAGTTCTGTTCGTGACTCTAAGAAACTCTGTGCCAAGTTTTGCCTTACTGTGCGTTTGGAAACAAGTTACATGGCAGCTTGGCTGAATGTAAAAAAAAAAGTGAAATTAGGTTACATTCAATGTGATGGAAGTTTCCAGGTCTCAACAAATCACTGAGTTGTGAAGTGATAGCAAGAAAACATGATTATAAAGTATGTTTTGAATCATAATAAAAGTGAGAGATAAATAAAATAAAAATAAATAAAAATAAAGTCATATTCTTTATTAAATCTATCAGAATGGTATATACAGTCTGCCTTCTCTTAAGCTTTCAGAAAAAAAAAATCACAAATGTTACATTACATCATGTACCATGTAAAAAATTATATTTGACTTCCACCACCATTTCCTATTGTGAGGCAGAATTTCTTTATTTTTATACAGTGTATATCCTGTGTGGTGTTTCTGGTTACACCTAAACAAAATCTTAAATTATCCTAAATTTGCTATTTCTGAATTTGTACATCAGCCTGAAATTTAATTAGTAAAGCCAAATACAGAAAGGTAAAGAAATGAAAATAGAATTCCTTTCTAGGAATAATAATTCCTTATAAGAAAGAAGAGTCAATCCTCAGAATTGCCATATTGCAAAGTGATTTGTACAGGGCTGCTTTTATGAATAAATGAAAATATTTCTTTGCCATTCTAAAGTCTTACAATTTAATAATGAAAGAGTTATTCTCCCTACTGAATAGTAAGATTTCAGATCTTTTAAGAATTCCCACTATTACTAGAAAACCTGCCACAAAGATTTAACTTGGCCAGATTCATGCCAGAGGAAAAACATATAAACTTATTATTTACTTCCTCATTACTTAGCTTCATAAAACTTTTCTTTCCCCATATACTATTGTTTCATGCAATATTAAAAATGAAGCAGTTTAATGTGCAGACAAATCCCTATCTACTTTGATTTTCCCATTTGTTCAACTGAGATTAAGGCCTAAGTATATGTTCATCTATCAATGTGAATTGTGTTGCAACACATACAAATTCAAAGGAAGGCAGTAAAGATGACTAGGGAACTGACAATTAAGACTTATGAGGAGAGACTAAGAAAAATGGAAATATCTCATTTCAAGAAACATGAGGATGGATTTCACAGGACAATATTCTTTAAATACTAGAAGAGATGTTACATTTAGGATTGCCATGGGGAAAAAAGCCAAGGGAAACAACTGTCCAGCTCCCTTTGGCCTACCTCAATTTGGATGAAGCTACCCAGAAATTTAGCACACCACAACTAAGAATGAATCATTATGTAACGACACCACTGAAGCCATTTCCAACAACACATTTCCAGTAGACGTTTCTGAAAGTTACAGGTCTTGGGCTCAATTTCAGTGCCTTTTCCATCACTTAATGGAAGTCTCATATCATGGTTTCCAAGGGTCAAGTAGGGGAAGAGTTACTCATTAAGATTCTCCAAATTCCTGTCTTGGGGAACTCTAGCTGACATGTCTCCCACAAAAACTGCATTTGGGAAGGCATGATTTCTCTGCCAAAGTACCATTCTTTTCACATATAGATTCTTCTACTATAAAGTACCTGGTTGTGTATAATATGATTTACATTGGATTAAAAAATTCAATTAAATGTTTTCATATTTAAATATATTTAGAAGCAAAAGCAAAACAATGATACTTTAAGAACACTATTTATAAATTTGACTGAAATTTCTGAATAGATAGCTGGAGAAGAGCATCCAGAATTATATATAAAATAGGCGATTATTTACATGCTTTAAATAAATAAACATATATTTTACTATAAATTTTTTTGGTGATTGCAGAATAAGAGATGTTGATAACATGCTCACCTCTGCAATCATCCTATTTGTGTCACCTAAGAAAAGCAGATTCAGAGCTTCTTCTTCATTGGTTGCTTGCTGCAGAGAGAGATGTTTCAGGTGAATGTTCTGATCAGGATCCTCCATTATTGTCACCTTTCTACATGAAAAAATTAAAAACATGTATGGGTTTTAGTTTTTTTATCATAAATTATACAGGAACATTTATTCAGAAGTTTGATCATATACAAATGCTTTAAGGTTTACTCTAGCTACTAACAGCAAGATTTCCCAATAAATGAAATATATATTTCAGAATTACTTATTCTACTGAGGGAGAAAACTGAGTTGTTCAATATTAAAGATAAAAAATTGTAACATTAGCAATTAAAGATATAAAACTATAACATTAACAATCATCTCTATACTACCTTATCCTATTCCAGATGATCAGGAACTGTAATCTTTATTTGTTATTACAGTAAACTAGGAAAATGAATTTAAAGAAAATTCTACTCTGCTCAACAATTTAGCAAAATGAGCTGCTACAGGCTTGTTTAAACATAGGATTACCTGGAAGAAGAATTTTATGGGAAAAGGAACTATAGGCCATATTACTGAAACCCAAGTGCATGTTGATTTCAGTGTCTATGGAGATTCTCAGTCATCTAGGTCATAATTGTCCCAGATGTGCTTTTTCAAGAGGCAACTGGACTTTCTGGTTTTTCTTTGAAGACATTTAGTTTCTCATCCAAGAAGCTTCTTCAGAAAAACCAGAAAGTCCAGTTGCCTCTTAAAAAAGCACCTTTGGGATATTGATTTCAGTATTAAAATAGATAATTGTGAGAACTGTAGTACCTTTTTGGACCTGGAACAGTAAAGGCCACATTTTTTTCTAAAAGAAATCCTCAATATTCCATTTCTTACAAGTTCTACAACTTGGTTGATGTAACTGAAGAATTTATCCAGCTCAACTTGGCTAATATTGTTTTATACAAATTCCACTTAGCTTTAAAAGGAATCTACAAATTCCATCCACTTAGCCAAATGGAAAACATTCTTTGTTTATAAAGAAAACAAAAGCCTTGCTTCTGCCTCCTCTGTCATTATGAATAAATTAGCAGTACTTTTCCACATCAAGACCCAAATTAGCATTAAAACATATAAACATTTTTTCTTAAAGAAAGGAATCAGAAGATTAGAAATAGAGCTGTTCATACAATTGCAATGTGAGACATAAAGTATTAGATAGTACTAATATTTCTAGCTAACTTTTCTGTTTCTATGTTGACAAGGAAATCTTTTAAATAATATTTCCACCCAATATATGTGACAGTGAAAAAATGTTGTATTATTCCAATATTTATATTCACACACATGTATACACATATAGTGGTATTATATATTAAAACATACAAATATACAAAAGTCTAGTAGCAACCTAGATTTTCAGGCCAAATCTTTGCAGGCCAAAATTCTCCCTGCAGAGTTTGCAGGCCAAAACTCTCTCTACAAACAGTTACAAAACTGTTGAAGCCAGGGATGGGTTCTAAATTTTTTTACTACCGGTTCTGTGGGCATGGCTTATTTTGTGGTTGTGGCTTGGAGGTCATGTGACTAGGTGGGCATGGCTAGCTGGTCAGAGTCATTTCTGGAAGGTCCTCGACTTACGACCAAGTCCTCGACTTACGACCCAACTCATTTGTTTGCTTTTAACACTGATCAGCTGTAGGATGGCCCTTTCAAGCCCCGTGGCAAGAGTTTAAACAGTTTTTTTCCCTCTAGTCATCAGCTGGGACTCAGGAGGCAGCAATAGATTGGGGGTGGGACCAAATAAAAGGTAAGAATAACGTGGGTGGTGGGGTGGGAGGGTGGGAGGGCAAGGGGGAGAACCGGTTCGGTGACGTCATATCGTCATCGCTACCGGCTCTGCCAAACCGGACCGAACCGGGAGGAACCCACCACTGGTTGAAGCACTGTCCAATATATAGCTGTGATTAATTTTTTATTATTATTTATCTGTGAAAAATCTAGGAAAATTACATTGTAGTTTTTAATTGTTTATTGTAATTGTATTTATTTGATTCATTGTATAGAATAAGACATTTGAAAGAAAAAAAAACAGCAGTACTGTTTGCCACAGCAATGTCACAGAAACTTTAATTTGATATAAATTTTAAATTTTAATTTCTTTTGATATGCAGACAGGCAGACATACCCAGAGAATTGGAACTAGGAGAAAAGGAAAAGAGCTGTGCTGATTTTTACAAATATTGCATTACTCACGGTAAGTCTTCCAGTTTGGAGGCTTCGTGCCGTGGATCTAGCAGATCATAGCCACACTCATTGTAAATTTCTAAGTAAGAAATATGTGTGGTATATACCTTACTGCTATCCTGAATGAAAAGGAAAAAATTAAATAATTGTATAAAATCTAGATTTTACCTATATTTATTTTTTTAGTTTAGTACTATATAAACTTGATGTTAGGGTCTCTCTTCCTTATCTAGCTAGATAACTCCAGTCTATTTCATCAAGAAACACCCATGCTAAGGAATTCCAGCATGATAAAACATTAAAATACAATCCATCCTATTGATACTATGTTAAAATAAATTGGACTGAGCCATCATCAACAACCAAGTAATTGGTCTCAAAACAAAAAAAAGTATCAATAAGTATAATAACAAATGATGAATCAATTAACTCAGAAACGCTCTCCAGAAAACCTCAATTTTTATCATACTTTAGAAAGCTTTTAAAGTAGGGCCAATCTAATTTCTAAGGAGAGAAACCTAACCGTATAACTGGTGCAATTAACAAAAAGCAATGCCTGGTGGCCTCAGATCCCCTCACTTCACTGAAATGGGGAACAACCAGCAGCTTTACCAGGGACAAGTATAATATTGTATATAGGTCAGTTCTGTTAGGGAAGCAGTCCTGCAAGTGATTGGTGCCAAGTTGAAAGTCATATATAAGTCATACCTGCCAAAACCAGCATTTTGAATTGCATCTGGAATTGAAGGGCCTGCAGCACCAGTATTATATGTCCTTGGTGACTCATATCTGCCAGTAAGTAGGCTGCCACATTCTGTTCCAACAACAGTTTCTGAGTGATCTTCAAAGGCAACCCTAGGTAGAGTGCCTTACAGTAATTTGTATGAATAGTAATGAGGATATGAGTTACTGTTGGGAAGTCCTTGAATTCCAAGTAAGATTGCTGGCCAAATGCTCACCTGGCCAGAGTCTCTATGTGGGAATGACCTTGGGGCACAGAGGGAAGAGCCACAGCCAAAGAAACACTCACATAAGAAGCAGCTTAGTCTGCAGAAGGAATGTGGGCATGGCATATTTCTTGGGCTGTAAAGACGATGGGGGAGAAATGTACTTTCAGACTTACAAGATTTTGTTAATATACCCTTACAATAAAGTAAAATTAGTTCATCTGGGTGTGCTTTCTGTCTTGCAAGACTGCTCTAGGAGAAATCCAAACACACCTGCTCCTTCATAACAAGGGAGACTCAGATCTTCTGAGCTGTTGTAAACTCAGGCATTAACTGTACTACAGTTTTAAAGAAATGTCACATAAATTAATATTAACCTATTTTAATACAAACTTTCGAGCAGGTGGCCATACAAACTGAATGATGCCAGGCTGACTTAAAACTTTAAGCCAGGTTTCTGTGATACAATACCATTCCTGCATAAAACAAAACCTTGGAGTCTTTGGTGCTCTCTGAACTGGGTTGTTTGCTTGTAGATATTTCATAACCCAACTAAGTAACAATATTAGTGCTAGTGAGTGCTAGTACTGTTGTTGTTATCTAATCAGGTAATGAAATATTTACAAGCAAAGGACTTCACCACTACAGATATTCTCTTCTTTTAAAATAATAGTTGCATCTTGGCAATTTCTAGTCCTTTGATTTCCTGTTAAATATAATAGAACCTTCATCTTCTTGAGGCTACAGAAAGCAACATGAAATTTATTTACATAATTGTATATTTCTGGAAATAAGTTATTCTTAAATGAAAAGAACAGAAATAATGGTCTGTACCTTTTGTAACCTCTGAAATACGTAGGACAGGGTCCGTGGAATTATCCCCCGATCACTGTAACGTTCTGCTCCCCCAGTGATTGTAAAAGTCTTGCCACTGCCAGTTTGTCCATAGGCAAATATAGTTCCATTATAGCCAGACAGAGCACTGAAAATGGAGACAAAATGTGCATATATGTAAATTTGTACATTTTAAATCTGTTGTTAATAATTTCTTTGGTTTTTATTCCATCTATATTTGTACAAAACAAGGCAGCATACATAATGCTTCCTCCTTCTATTTCCCCCAAAATCCCTGTGAGGTGATTTGGGCTAAGAGATAGAACAACTGGCCAAAAGTCGCCCAGCAGCCAAGGTTCTCCTAGTGTCTTATCTAGTACCTTAACATCAAACTGGCGCTCTTTTTAAAAGAAATAATCATTAATTTTTTGTTGCAAAATGAAAAATGATACTATATTTTCTTTAGCCAAGCAAACATTCCAAAAACAGTTTACAATTAAATACCAGGCACGCTGAGTACATTTGTTCATCATATTCAGTAAATATACTTGAGTTGCACAGTACTCCAGATTCAGTTCTGAAAAATGTGCTTTGAAGTATGCAGGGGTCACACAAATGTGGCATCTGCTTGCACCTCCTTAAAGCAACTTAATCTTTTCCAGGATCATGCAGCCTCTGCAGATGGTGCAACAATTAAACTTGGGAAAGAACACGCCAGTCAAAAACTTGCAAACGTAATCTACATCCATTATTAGATGCATGTACCATAAAGCACCCTTTCTAAATTATTTCCAAAATATGCCCTGCCTAATTGTATACTCATGGTCACCTCTGATTCCTGGTGTATTGCTGAATTACAATTTCCATTAGGTTGAACAATAGGGTTTGTTAGAAAATATATTCCAGTAACATCTGAGAGACCAAAGGTTCTAAAACTCAAAACGGGCCACCTGTAACATGGCATTTATAAAATCCCTAGGTCTTTATATGGAAATGATAGAATTCTGTGCAAGCAGTATTGTAGCTAGGAAAAGTTACCTAGCATATATTTTTTCAATCATCTGTAAGTGAAGAACATAGGATTGACAATATAATCAAGGAACAATTATCCAAATTTTATACAGACATTGTACCAGATTTAATCAGCTCAGAGCTGGCATATGTTATACACAAGTGGAAAAAAGTAATATTTATGTTTGTACTTTATATGAGAAGAGTTTTAAATAGGTCAGTCTTTAAAAAACAAAATCTTCATTCCTAGGAGAATGGGGCCTTATACAAATCAGCTTCCAGTCTGGTGCCATGAAAAAGGCAAAGGCCTCCAACTCATTTATTTGGAAGCCTAAGCATTTGCCAGATGGCTCAGTGTAATCTACAATAGCAAAATGTCAAAGAAAAACATACAAGATGCCAAAGAAAGTCAGAACCACTCATAACAAAAATACCAGAATTTTCAGATACATTTGTTTTCTGCCTGATTACTGTATCTTAGTTTGGAAAAAAGCTATTGCCTATTTTCAGGCAATGTTGAATGAAATAGTTACTGGCTATCTTTGGCTTAATCAGAACATAACCTTTTGGACTATTGCATTTCATTAACCAAACATGGATTATTATATTTTTTTTGCTCCAAGTAGTTTTTTCTTTTTAGTCATAAGGTCTGAACAATAAATCAGGAAAAAAAAATGTTTCCCACATCAGTTGATAGATCTAGTGGGCTATATCGGTTAGCATGACCTCATTTAAATAAATCTGAAGATGAACCTGAGCTAGTTAAAGAGTTACCAGATATCTGAACAGGCAAAGGTAGACATGGACAATTGGAAAGAAGAACAAATGGTAGAGGGGGGGGGAAGGAGGACACACTGTTTAACTTTCTTGGCACTAGCAACAAAAATTACAGTAAAAAACTTGTGAAAAAAGAATTAGGCATAGCTAGCTAGCTAGTTAGACGGACGGACGGACGGACGGACGGACTGACCTGACTGACTTGTATAAATAAAATATTACATTTTCCAGCATCAAAAACATTAGGTTTTCAACTGCAGGAATCTGCTGTAGACAGCTAGAGGCAAAAGCCTTCTGTTTGTAACTGCTTACAGCCTTGTCAATTTCAGACAAACAGAATGGAGAATTACTAATCAACCCTAGTTACTTATCATAGAGCTGGACGTGTTAACATGTGGTTAGCAGCAGAAGTGATTGTTTATGTATCAGGAACAAATGAAACTACAGTACAGTGGTACTCTCTGCATTCTTTCTAAAATCTCAACATCTTTGTTACATTGTGGCAACCAAAATATGTTTTACACGTTCTAAAACAAGTGTGAAATCTCCCTAAACTCTATAGCAGATAATTTGTACAGTAGAATATGAGATACAGTATATAGTCTTCTCTAATTTAAGTGGCCTTCAAATGTATTCCCAAAAATTTCCATAAAAATATACTGGCTGAGAAATTTTGGGAGCCAGTCTCCCCATCTTGATGTACCTAACTGGTATCAGACTTCACTCTAAAACCAGCTACTAGAAACTCAATTCTAGTAAAAGCAAATTTTTCACAGATTCAACGTGGCTAGATAAGATGCTTTACTGCTAAAAGGAACAATTACTGTACATAGGCATCAATATTTTTCATGTCAAACCCAGAGTTTAAATCTTGACTTTTGCCTCTTTCCCCTCTGAGTCAACAGATTTTAGCTATTCCCTTCCCAGCCTTGGGAGTTGTAAACATCTGTTTCATGTTTACATAACAGTTCTGTCTTTCCTCAAAATGACTGATTCCAACTCTAAAACCACTGGCCTTTATAGCTGGAAAAAGCTGGTATTTCAAAAAATGAATGCAATATTTTTGGTATAAGGGCAATCTTCAAATACTTAGATGGGGGAAATTATTACTTTATCATTACCTCTATTTTTGGACAGGGGAGCTTTATGAAAATGGTTTATCTCATAGACCTATTCCAAGGCAAGAAACCTACAAAATTTCAGAAAAAAGTTAAAGAATTATGAAAAATGAAGTTGGTGCCAATACGTTATTATTAACATTCCTTTATGTTTGAGAATGCAGTATCAAAAGTAGACCCTTCTTCTTTTCCCAACTTAAGAGTTTTCCTCACATAAAGAGCATAGCAAGAAATGAAGACTTGGCTGTTCAAGCAAATAGGCTGACTCTGATTCTGGGTTTTATTATTTATTATTTATTAGTTAATTTGGTTTAAAATGGGATTTTGTTGTACATGTTTTTAACTTGTGTTCTCCGCCCTGAGTCCTTCTGGAGAAGGGCGGCATATAAATACATGAAATAAATAAATAAATAAATGTATTAATTTTTGTAGATACACTGGCTCAATTCATATTTCATGTTATATATGAATTCAATTTAAATTACCTGAAGTAATTTAATCTAAAGTATCTCATTTCATTTTAGACCTTTCCCACATATATCTAAAATAGCTTAATTCCATTTGATTCCTATTACATCCCTGTAAGAAAGATTAGCCAATGGTTTTGTATTTCACATACAAATCTATTTTTCTACAATAGTGTCTTCTTTGGATCCAAATGCATTATCTCTTTCTGCTTATGGTTATGTTTGTTTTAATAATTTGCAATACTAATCATTTATTTATTTAATTATATAGTATAAATGATTTTATTAGTCACTGAAATAAAGGTTTGAACGTTATCAAATTTTAAACTGATATACATAAGGTTTCCTTTTGAGGAAATATGATCTAACTCAGCTGGTTATCACCAATATGCAATGGATGACAGTACAACATGAAACTGGAAATCTAATAAATATAATCATATTCTTCTGAGAATTGGAAGAGGTAGGTGTTTCAGCTGTTTAACATTCATTTGGTTCAACTAATCTCCATCAAAAATGGTTATGGATTAGAAGAAAGAGTGTAGAAAAATAGAAAGTGACAGTCTGGAAACAGGAGCCCATCAACCATATTATTTCTATCCCATGTATATAGGGATAGGCTCAATTTCTAAATACTATATTGTGACTGGTATAATTAGAAACCACAATGTTTTCTTTTTAAAAGATTCAATTAATGACACATCAGACAAAAAAATAACAAACACCTACAATCCCCCAAGAACACTTTGTTAAAACAAACTGAAATAAACATTTGCAATATTACAGTATTCTATGTTTAAAAGTTTATAAGTTTGAACCTGGCTATACTAATGACAGAGATACTAATACAATTTTGCTAAGACTCTAGAGATAAATATTCTTCAATAACATATACATAATTCACTTGTATAATACATTCAGAGACTAAACATCTTTAAGTGAAAATCTAATATTCCAAACATGGTTAATTGATTTGGGCCCCAAAGTAGATCCCACCATTAAAGAGTTGTAGGAATAAGGGAGTACTGATAGAAGTGTTTAAAATAAACCTACTATTTTAAACAGGAATCCAAAGTAATAAAAATAAGAGCCTAGAAACCCCACATGAAGTCATCATTGTAGAAGAGAAACCTTGGGCTGGCTTTCTGTAATTTGAGCAATCTTGGGCTCATTTGCTATAACTTGGGTGCCACAAAAGAAAGCATATTATATCTAAAATCACTGAATTATTTTAAATATATTTTAAACATTATACATATTATTAATTTTAATTGAATTATTTATACTATTAAAATGAAATAATGCAAAAGGAGAAACTTTGCTTTAATGAATCAGTAATCAAATCTAGAAGTATTTCGAACTTGTAAGTGGGGAGTTATGAAGCTATGAGCATGCAAATCTCTATAAAAGAAATAGACCAAGTATTAATATTTTCTAAGATTTTTTTCACAACTTTTTACTTGCATTTGGTCCATCACAGAAGGTTTTTGGATCTGTAATATCATTCTTTCAAGGTGGATCAGATCAAGAAACATATTACAAGAACTGCTGGAATAATACTGTTGTCAAGTATAACATAGTTTTGAAGACCTGCCAGAATTTCCCTCTTCCTCCCACCCTACTGTCCAGAATCAAGGTAGGCTTATTTTGAATCTCTTTCTCGTGGTCCCTCCTTTTCTAATGTGAGCTATCATTTACTTTCTTCTTTATTATATTTTAACAATTCTGCTAACAGTTCCTTCCTTCATCAATATTATCTCTACAATCCTCTACAT